GAAGCTCTGTTGGATGAACGCCATCACCATCTGCTATCGAGATCTGTCTTCAAATGCTGATTTGTTCCACCGTTTCTCACGCACAGCTCTCTCCCCCGTGAGCCCCCAAAGGCCCTTCTGAGAGCTGCAGCACAGCACACATAGGGCTGGGGGGCACCAGGACCCTTTGGGCACTGACAGCCATGAGCACCACTGCTAAGGTGAAAAAAAAACCAAATAAAACACAATGCTGTTCCATGTGGAAAGTAGCAGGGATGCAAGCAAGGAGCTGCAATCATAGAACCATGGAATGGTTGGGTTGGAAGGGACCTTAAAGTCCATTCAGTCCCAATGCCCTGGGATGCCCAGGGATGCCACCATCCCTGCCCTGTAAGCTCTTGGGGGCAAGAAAACCAAAAATGCCTCTGCAAAATAAATTGCTTTATAAGTCTGGATGGGTTATAAATAATAATAATAACAAAACTCGACAGATTTCTTCTGGCTGGGTTCAAATTTGGAGAACTGTGTCGAGATGAACGAGGTGATACAAACTAAAGACCCCCAGGGGGGATTTTCTCCATGTGAGAAGTGGTGTTGCAGGTTGATCCTTCAGTTAAGAGCCAATTATTCTGGAAGCTAAGGAGATCTGCCTGCAGAGCAGTGAAGACTGATGGTTTAGCTGAGGGGATGACAAGGCTGCCACGCTCCCTCTCAAATACCCAGCATTATATTGTAGTGGGGCCATGGAAATTTAACAGCTGGAAAAGAAATCAATAAAGGAACATTGGTCGGCATTAAATACAAAGTGACACTAAGTCTCCCTCTCCTCACATCTCTAAAAATAGGCTCTGCTGGGAATTCACAGCTCGTATGCAATTCCAAAACAGAAAAAGGGTATTTAAAAAAAATATGTATGTCAAAGCTTGTTTTGTATTGCAAAGCAGCTGCTGATGGTTTAGGTAGGGCTCCACTTTGGAACTCAGACACTTCCTACAACACAGATACAACGTCCTTCCCCTCTCCTTTTGTCAGACAGCACAGCACTACGGATGGTGCCTGCCAGAAGCACCAGAACAAGCTGCTTATTATGATTATTTCCAAAGAAATACAGCCTGCAGAAAAGAGAAATATAACTTGTTTCTCAGGGAAACAAGCTAAAGCCATCTCTGCCAAGGAAAACTTGTTTTCAGGCAGGAGCAGAGCAGGGGAGCACAGGCAGACGTGGGATGGGAGAAGGCTGCTGAACCGAATCGCTGACCTATTTCTCTTATCAGAAAGAAGATTCTTTAGAGAAAAAAAAATACATTCCACTGCTCATTACCATTGGGTATCACCAGCTTCATGCCTGGCACTTCGCCCTGCCTGCAGAAAGCCACTGGGTACAGCTGTACTGCAGCTATGTTAGAGTAAACTCAATGTGAATGTCCTCTTTATTCAACTGCAGTGCTTCCAGTCCAGTGAGGCTGTCCTGGTTTCAGCTGGGACACAGTTAATGTTCTCCATAGTGGTTGGTGCGATGCTGTGCTTTGGCTCTGGGAGGAAAATAAAGCTGATAACGCAGCCATGTTTCAGTTTTGGCTGAGAGGTGCTGCACAGAGCCAAGGTCGTTTCGGCTCCTCGTGCTGCCCTGCTGTGAGGGGCTGGGAGGGCACAAGGAGCTGGGAAGGGACAGAGCAAGGACAGCTGACCTTAACTGGCCAAAGAGACATTTCATACCTTATGGTGTCAAGTGGAACTATAAGACTGGGGAGGCTGTGCAGTGCTGAGCTGCCTGGTAGCTTGAAGGCCTTTAGCTTCTTCAAGAGCGAGGCTGGGGTGCAGGAGGGCACGCAGCTCGACACCCACTGCATTGCTCCAAGTTTATCTCTGACAGAGGATACCACAGATAGAGCTGCACTGATGACACCGTGATCCCAAATCATACCACGCTGACCTTCCAAACGTTCTGTCAAAAACCATCATCTTGTCCTAAAACCACCCCATTTTATGCATTTTATGGAGCCCTTAGAGTTGCAAGGGACCTTTAAAGATTATTTATGCAACAAATCTGAACCTCAACAGAGATGGAAATACCCTTAAAACTTCCCAAGGGTGAAGTGGAAAGGGATAATTCACTCACCAAAAGCTGCCTGCCACCTATTAATGAGCACATCTCTAATTAACAGCCCTGCAGCTACAACTGGTACCTTCAGCTGTCATATTATTACAGTATAACTCTGCTACATCGGAATGACAGAAATTACCACCGTCACCATGGTCCTTGCATCCCTCTGTGGAACTCCTCTCCCATCCTACTGGCCCTTCAGCATGCAGAAAACGCCACGATTGCCTGAATTACTTCACACGAACAACCATTTCCCAAGTGCAGGATGACTCCCACGGTCTGGGAATGAATGAAAGGGAGCACAGCCTCAATGAGCTGGAATGAGAACATCTCAAGGAAGACTTCTGATAGGAACTGTTGCACCTTTTGATTGCAATTCTTCTGTTTTCGGATGCACTCCTTTATTTCACAGTAAGAGATCAGGAAAACAAGAAGAGACGCTCCGTCCCCGAGGTCATTTCACAAACCTTCTCTAGGCAGGAGCCACCTGGCCCCGCCCCCTACTGTAGCCACGCCCATTTACATCTCATTACCGATAACCCCACCCCTTTGGTCAAGCCCCGCCCACTTCCTGCTGTCGACCTTAGACTCACTCCCTCATCCCCTCCCCTTTGGGCCCCGCCCCCCTCCAGGCCCCGCCCCCGCGCCCCCTCCGCCTCACTCACGCGGGCGGTTCTTGCGGACCGAGTCCCGCCGAAGGCCGCAGGCTGCGCTGCGCCTCTCGCAGTGCTCCGGTCCCGCCGCAGCGCTTCCAGCGCCCGTCCCGCCGCCGCTCCATTGCCGCGGCTTCCCCGCTTCCGCTTCCCGCCTCCGAGGTTTCTCATCCGCGCCGCTGCCTTTGCGCCGCGGCTCCATCCTCCGCACGGCCCGGCCCCATGGGCCGCTCGCGCCGCACCGCGCCGCGCTCCTCAACGGCCACCGCCGCAGCCACCGCCCGCAGCGCGCCTGCGCCGAGCGGCGCCGAGCGGCGCCCCCGGCCCTCGGGAAGTGGGAGGGAGAAGCTTCTGAGGCGGCGTCCAATGGGAATCCTTTGCCGAACGGACCGACGGGCGGTCTGGCCAATGAGAAGCAAAGATCGGACAGAGAGCCCGCCTACAGCGTTATTGATAAGTCCAACTGTCCAATACGATACGGGAACTCGGAACAGGGCGGGGATTAAGGCGGCCGAGAGGGGCGGAACAGTACGCAGCGCATTGGCCTATGGCGTCCCGTGGGAAAGAGTGACGCGGCAGCTAGCCAATGACGTGAGGTGTCTGATGGTGGAGGCAGGCTGATTGGCAGGCCGAGTAACCATGGCAACGCAGATGGGTGCTGAGGCCTTGCGCATCCCTTCACAGCCAGGGGACAGTCGGGCATTAATTCGAGACCAAAGAGATAAATGCCTGACTGTCACTGTGCCACACAGAGGCTCTGAAACATGAGATTTTCCCTCAGGTTACAAACACAGCACCCTCAAAAGTTTCGTGGTGTGGCAAACAGTTTTTATTACGTATTCCATCCTAGGTATCCCTTTCGCTGATTTCTGTCTTTAAAGTGCTACATGACAGCTAGGAAAATAGAGGCACTTCACAGCAAACACCAAGAAAAACAAATGCTTTATGTGCTAATAAATCAGGTGTGTTTTCATAGGAAGTGCAGGAGCTAAAAAGCACTGGGAAAATACATGAAGAAATCTGCAGGCAGAGAAGAGAGCCTTGGTATGGATGCTGCTGGCTTGAGATCTCCCAAACACCCTCAAAAATGGCACAGAAAGCAGCAGGAGAAGATGTAGGCCTCCTCTTTCTCATGGTGAGAACAGCCCCTGTGCCCCATCACTGAGAAGAGGATGGAAAGTGCATTTAAAACGCCCTCTCTCATCCACGGATGGGTAAAATGCTGGGCACTGAGCAAGAAGTGAACATCTCGAGTTCGCTCTTGGGCCCTGTCAGAGCAATTTCAACCACCTCACTCTTGCATGTATTTATTGCTCTTGTCCATTTATAAGGGAGGCACTTTGTGCATTTTGGGGCTTTTTCAAGTTGTCAGCCCTACTAAACCGAAGCAGAAGTCCCCCAGCCTGCTGTGCTGTGACAGAACCATTTGTAATTTGGAGACCATTTACCCAAGTCAGAAGAGGCTAAATGATCTTATAGGTTGTTTCCAACCTTATGATTCTATGATTCCTCCAGGCTAACGGGCTGCTAAGGCAATCAACCAAAAATAAGGCAGAGCTCTGGGAAAACCAGCATGTGGCTCAACAACTTGGGAATATGGGACTGGAAAGAGGTGGGCAGGTGCCTTCCAAAACACATTTCCTTTGGAATATGTAAGAACCCAACTCATGCAAATACTGTGGTCAGAGCAGCTCACATCCAGCACCTCAAGAATACTATTCCATCTAGAAAAGCCTCAGGACACCTCAATTCTGGACACAGAGCCATCAGACTGCAGCCCAGATCAGCCTTGCAGTTCAGTCACTGCAGTGGTTTAAAGCCCATAGCACCCTGACCAGCCAGTCACATTCAAGCCATGGCTGTCCATGATACAAGCCTTCTGCTGTGCAAATCTGTCTCCACATCTCCATACTTTTTGCCCAACTCTGCCTCCTGCCATGGCTTCCATTTCCTGCAGCTCACAGGATTGCAGGGCAACCTAAAAGTCCATGCTGGTGCATTTAGAGCTTAAAAAAAATTAATAATCTCTAACTAAAATAACCCACTTTCTTACTTTTGTGCCTCTGTCCTTTTGGGAGGGAGCAGGTGAGTGATGGTGAACAGCCCACAGCCATTGCAACAGAGGAAACAGGCAGCGCGGCTTGGGGTGGTTGAACTCTGCCTGGAGTTGGACATGAAGGCAAACAGCAACTGAAAAGGATCGTTGCTGCCCCTGAAACCTGTCCTGAGCTGAGGGAACCAAGGGATGCTTATTTGGGTTTGGGATTTTCTCTTATCTGTAAGTGTTGCGGCCCAATCCCCTCAAACTCTCAAGGTGATCCCTGGGAGCAGTTGGGAAATGATGGACTGAAATTTTAAACAGAATCCTCAAGATAACTCAGAACATGTGGACCACCAGCTAGCACTGATGTATGGCCTCCCTGCATCACAAAGAGCTGACCCTATTTATGTCCCAACCTCGACATAAGTTTCTATCTCATTGCACCAGGTACTGGGAAATGTGAGAATTACATCCACCCTCCTAGCCAGGCTCACTAAATACAGCCTGTAGATCAAAAGGCACACAGCAATCCTAGGTGAGAGCAAGTCTGGCTCATGCTGGTATTGCATGAAATTGTCTTCTGAAAGCATATGCTTAAATCCTTTCTCCCCCTGTCTGGCAGAAAGGAGAAGTGAGATTGATCCATGAGAAAGCTGCACAAGGGTATACACAACTCCTTCTGGCTCCACTGCTCCATCCCCAGGGGTGTCAGTGCTGTGTGTCGAAGTCCTGGATCCTGTGCCATTTCTGACCCACAGGTGCAGGGCACGATACTCCAAAGGAAAGCACTGTAGCAGGATGAGGGCTCCTGGGAGAGGGGACAGCTTGCACACAGTCCAGCCTGGCACATCCTCATCACAGGAACATTTCTTGGCAGGAGAGGGGCCATCCAGAACCAAATGTGAAGATGAGAATGGCCAGGAAGGCTCTGATTTTGGCCTCGAGGGATCACCTCCTGAGAGACACCCTCACTGTGGGTGAAAAAGAAGGCAGCACAGACAGGAAGGTGGTTGGGAATCAGACCAAAACCCAACAGCATCACACAACCAAGGCATCTTCCAGGAAACTTTCTGGGAAGAGATTTAACAAAGCCCCTACAGTCCCTCTAACTGTTCTTCGGGCTTCAAACATGCTGGCCAACTTCCTTCTACGAAGAGGAATCTCCCTTTGGTAGCTGTGGCATCTCATCTTCTCTCTGCTGCTATTTCTGCAATCGTGTGTACACCAGAAACACTGAGATCAGTGCAATGCCAACAGCTGGGAGGATGTACAGCAGGGACGGCCCATTGCTGTCCCCTGATGTGGGGACTTTGACCTGAGATGAGTTGGTTGCAGCATTACTTCCCTTGTTTGAGTCAGGAGAGCCTTCAGAGGGGACTGCTCCATCTCGGACATCATTGCCTGCTTCCAGCAGGGCACTGAGGTGATGTTCCACATGGACCTCGTGGGTGCCCACAGAAGGGCTGGCCCAGCTCAGAGGTGGATAAGGGCTCTCTCCAGCTGCCTTTTCTCCCCCAGGGTCTGCATGAACTGCTGGAGTTGCAGACCAGCGCCCTGAGTTGGCTCTGGACTGTGCTTCTCCAGGCCTCAAGCTGTCTGCGCTCACCATGAGCGGGTCGCTGCTCAAGCCAAGGTGACTGGACGTGTTGGAACTGGGGCTGCCCAGGTATCTGGCAGCTGCCTTTTTTGGGCTCTCTCCTACTACAGACTGGAGGGCACCTGGCTTGCTGAGCTCCACGTCTTCCTCCTCATTATCATGAGATGCCCAGATGCTGGTAGCAGAGCTCACTCGTGAGGGGGTCTTCCCAGCTGCGCCTTCAAAGCTTCCTGCAGCGTTCATAGCTGAGAGGGAGGCCACTGAGGCAGAGATCACCTTTGGAAGACAAAGAGAGTGGCAATCTCAGCTGGGTGCTGTGGGGAGCACCCATTCAGCCTGTCTCAGGCACCCACATCACACAACCGAGCACACTTCTCTATCATTTTCTCCAGCTACTGACAGTGTGGCTGGGACATAAAACAACAAGGGCAGGGAAAGCAGAAGGGGTAGGAAGGTGTTGAAGCTCCGGGGAGCCTCTAGGATTTGTGAGAGATGCAAGGAGAAAGGGGAGACAAATAGGGACAGAGATGACTGGGGTGGAGATGGGCATCTGGACTGACAGAGCCAGTTCTTTGCCCCATATACCTGAGGGCTCAAGCAGAGCCACAGAATCATTTGGGGACACCCCAGGTGAGTTTTGGGGTCAGGACCCCACTGGGATCACAATCTGATCTAAATGTTTTTTGCAACACCCACCAGCCAAAGCAGCTCTCCCAGGCATGCTCTGAAATACAACAGGACAGAAAGAGGAACACAGCAAAGAAAAACCCCTAAATAAACCCCCCATCAGATAAAAATCTCACAGTGCAGCAAAAACCATCCTCGCCACGGGGATTTCACAAGGACCTGAAGGAAATGCAACCAATAACTGAAAGGTCACCTACTTGCTCCTTCTGTGGCATGGAGGGGGTGCTGCTGGCTGCTTCCTCCCCAGGCAGCGTTCTCTCTCGTACAGGAGGCTTCAAGGAGGTGTCACAGAATGGGGAAATATCTCTGGGTGCAGAGGTTGAGACTGAGGTGGCTGTTTCCTTCCAAACATCTGAAGGAGAAAACAAAGCACGCTGCGTTAACCAGGAGAACTCAAGGTGAGCCTCTTCTCAAGGGATGCTGCAGTAGGATACATCACTTCCAGGGCAGGTTCTTACCTGCGTTCATGGGTTTTCATCTTTTTCCCTCATCACATCTGTGTTAATTTGCACAGAATGGAAACTGCAGCCTGTGCTCAGCACAGAGCAAGTCCAAGATGTGGGCAAGGGACTGGAACCACAGAGAAGCTCAGGGCAGTTGAGCTTTCCCAGCGGCAGGCGCAGGTAAAGCAGACAGCACCAGTGCAGCCTGCACCTCAGCACTGCCAGCCTGTTCCTCTCTCTTTGAGACTGGGGTGTTCCCAGCCTGCTGAAACAGGAGGGCATGGACACAGAGCTATGAAGTTTTACATCAGAAACAAAGCAAGCACGTCTGCCAAGTATATAAGGGGAGGAACAGCATCTGCAGAGAAAACTAGGGGAAAAAAAGCAGTCAAGGTAGATGCCTGCACAAACCAGCTTCCCTGCCTTCTTAGAGGAGGTAACTGGGATCTCCTAAGAGACAGGAGCTAACAGCCATTATCAGCACCTTAAGTGACTGCAGAGCAGCACCTCCAGCCCTGCTCCATCTGAACCTGCGGACTACAAAGGAAGGAAACCCACCTCCACCTCCTTCACGCTCTCTCTCAATCTGCTTCTGCTCTACATCAAACTGCTGTTGTATAAGCAAGGGGTTGCGCATATCCACAAAGCTGCTCGGGGGCCCATCGTGCTTGGAACTGTGCACAGCTCGTTGCTCCTGTGTCCTCAGAGAGGCTGGGGGCTGCAGTCCCCCACCGCCAGCGGTCTCCACCAACCTCACAGGCAACTCACTGGAGATGTAGACGTCTTCTTGGGGCTCGTTCCTGGTTTGCTCAGGGCCAGAAGCAGCACTCAAATCCTTTGGTGGAAGAGAGCCCAGATCCAAGTTTGGCACGCCACGTTGGAGGTGGTTTGCGTTCCCAAAACACCCGTTGTCCACACACACCGGATGCCGGTGGCTCAGCCACTCCTGGCCCTGCTCAGGGGACACAGATGGTAAAACTGTGCTGGATGCCCCAGGGGTCTCCACTGCCTCTTGAAGCTCTTTGGTGGGGTATGGGACAGGTTTCTCTTTGCCATCACAGACCGTGTTCGTCATCAGCGGAGGCTGGGGACTCTTTCTTTCTGGGTGCTGGAAGAAAATGAGCTACGTTAAATCACCATGCAGCCCCACTTCAGTTAGGATGAGGGCACGTGAGGCCACCAGGGTGTCTCAAAAGCAAACCTGGTGACCCATGTGAGCCTGAAGACGAGTTGCACCCACTGAACAGGTCACAGAAGCAGTGGGCTTCATGTGTCAGAGAATATGGAGAGGCTGTAAAGCTGCACTTACATGCTTGGAGGGGAGTAGTTACAGCCTTGTATAAATGCTATAAGAGAACAGTTGGCTGCCTCTCACCAGCAGCAGCTGCAAGAGCTCTGTGTGGAAACAGCAGACAAGGTGCCCTCTGCTTCTCCTCATGGGTGAAGCTGCCAGGCGCAACGAACACACAGCAGAGGTCAGCAACAAGACCCTAATTGTGGCATCCAAAACACCAACCCTCCAGTCCAAAAAGGATCTTTGCAGTCCCGTGTGCTCTGCTCACCGATTCCTGCACCGGTGCCCTGGCATCCAGTTCTGTGCTGGAAACATCTGAGCTCACAGCTGAGGTCGCAGTGGTGGCAGCAGCAGGTGAGAGAGGTGGATGGCCACCAGCAGATGGGTTGGAGCGTGGTGGCTCAGCCTTTGGGGCTTCTGCAGCAGAGCTTGGCCCTGAGAATGGCTTCAGGGCACCGTCGGAGGAAACAGCAGGCCAGGCAGCAGAAGCTGAAGCACTTGGAGGAGCCAAGGCACCTGGAGGAGCTGAGGCAGCCCAGGAAAACCAAGGAGACAGAAGATGAGCATGGGCCCAAGGCAGCCCTTTTCATGCCCACGCTCCACCCCCATAACAGCCAAGCCCGCAGTGCCTCTTAATTCATTTTTCCATCTCCCCTCAAGACAAGGAGAACAAGACACACAAGCCACTGTCAGCCCAAGCAGCTTTGGACAAGGAACCGTGCAGACATTCTGCCATCCCTGGGCATGTCACAGGGGCAACACATCTTTGGGGACAAGTCACAGATACCCATGGACTCCTGCATGAGACACAGTTGTTGTATACGGACTCCCCACCAAGAACAGGAGCTAGACCCTGAGAGAAACAAGCATCCAAGCATACTGGGGAGACCCAGGGGTGTTGAGGCCACTTACGGGCTTGGTAGAGGTCATAAACCTGCTGCAGCTCCTCAGCCAGGTGCCCCGCATTGTTCTGGTGCAGTGCATTGATCAGGTCCATCACCCAGCCCTTTCGGCACTTCAGGTGCTGGTAAAATTTGTACACAGTGGCACGGATCCCCCGCATCTCCTGCCGGGTGTGAAGCTCATCCTGAACAAAACACATTGAGAAGCACAGGCTGCCTTAGAAACAGAATCACGAAATGGCTTGGGTTGTAAGGGAACCTAAAGATCAATCAGTTGCAACTGCTGCTGAGGGCAGGGACATTTTCCACTGCTCACAGCTCCATCCAGGCCAGCCTTGAGCACCTTCAGGGATGAGGCACCCACAGCTTCTCTGGGCAGACTGTGACAGGGCCTCATCACGTTAATAGCGAGGAATTTCTTCCTAATATCTAATCAAAATCTCTTTTAGTTTAAAGCACTCTTTATCTTATCTCCACGCTCCCTGATAAAGAGTCCCTAGCCTTCCTGTAGGCCCCTTTATGTCCTGGAAGGCTGCAGTGAGGTCTCTCTGTAGCTTTCCCTTCTGCAGGCTGAACACTCCCAGCTCTCTGCCTGTCTCCACAGCAGAGTTCATAGAATCACAGAACCACAGAATGGCCTGGGTTGAAAAGGACCACAATGATGATGTAGTTCCAACCTCCTGCTATGTGCAGGGTCACCAACCAGCAGACCAGGCTGCCACATCCAGCCTGGCCTTGAATGCCTGCAGGGATGGGGCATCCACAGCCTCCCTGGGCAACCTGTTCCAGTGCTTCACCACCCTCTGAGTTGCTGCAACTTCTGAGCACCCTCATGACCCCATCCAGTCTCACTCCAGCAACTCCACATCTTTGTGCTGGGGGGCTGAGAGCTGAACGCAGCGCTGCAGATGGGGGCTCAGGCAGCAGAGCAGAGGGGACAATTCCCTCCCTCACCACTCTGGGCACACGTAAAGCAGCTACACACCAACCCACGTCATACATACACTGGGCAGAGTGCCCACGCAGCCCAGCAGCACTCAGAGCAACGGAGAATTTACCCTGTCAGCATCGGTGAGGCAGCTCAGGGAATCGACCAGCGACGCCACGTGGATGTCACAGAACCTGCTCATGTTCTTCAGGATGTGGTTGTACACTTTGTCCTCAGCAAAACCCATCGTGGCTCAGTGCCTGCAGGGACAAGGACTGAAGGTGAGTGGAGCTCAGGAGCAGAGCTGCTGTTTGCCTCTTAGCAAGCTGGGCTGTCAACAGCAGGAAAGGCAGTCGTTGGGCTGGGGAAAGAGCACAGGGGAAATCTCACATGAAATACACATAAAATATGGATTAAATGGGCAGGGTTAAAGTTTAACTCTTGGCAGAACTTCGTTTTTCCTTCATGTTGGACCCACGGCCCTGTGTTTGCACAGCTGGCTGCACTCGGGTGATTCTTTTTGTCTTCAAAACGCTTTCTTTTTCCCCCCTCAATAACACTGAAACTTTCTCAAATCCAACGGAAAGAGGAAGAGAAAGCGGGCACAGCGCCCGGCCCCGAGGCGGCTGCTTCCAAAATCCCACGGGCACGAAGGAAAAGAGAGATCGGACCTCCTAACCCGGATCCCAGCCCCGGTCCACGTCCTTCTCCCGATCCCCGTCCTTCTCCCTGCCCTTATCCCGTACCCGGCCCCACCTGCGTCCGCCGCCACCTCCGCCCGTCCCGGGTCAGCGCCGAGCCCCGCCCACCACCTCGTTCACTCTTCTCATTGGTCACCGCGCCCGTCCGTCCCCGACGGAAGGGCGGTGATAGGCGGAGCCCTGGGAGGAGAGACAGGCCTGGCCCGGGCCTTCGGGCCCTACTGTGACTCGGAGCGCCCTAAAATCGAGAGTCTGGACAGGTTTAATGTTCGTAGTGCTGTGTTATCATCAGCTGTAAATTCCTCACGCCCCGAATCGTTCTTTGCCACCACAAATCACAGAATCACGTCATAGAATCATAGAATGGCCAGGCTTGGAAGGGACCTCAAGGATCATGAAGCTCCAACCCCCTGCCACACGCAGGGCCACCAACCTCCACATTTCATAGCAGCCCAGGGTGCCCAGGGCCCCATCCAACCTGGCCTTGAACACCTCCAGGGATGGACGGGGCATCACAGCCTCTCTGGGCAGCTGTTCCAGCACCTCACCACTCTCTCTGTCAAGAACTTCCCCCTCACATCCAACCTCAATCTTCCCTCCTCAACTTCAAACCATTTCCCCTTGTCCTGCTGTTATCAAACCTTTCGCAGAGTTGATTCCCGTCCTGTCTGTAGGCTCCCTTTAGTTACTGAAGACTGCCATGAGGTCACCCTGCAGCCTTCTTTTCTCCAGGCTGAACAAGCCCAGCTCCCTCAGCCTGTCTTCACCTGTCTTCTCCAGCCCTCTGATCGTCTTTGTGGCCCTCCCCTGCACCCTCTCCAACAGCTCTCTGTCTTTCTTGTATTGGGAGCCCCATGCTGTCCCTGGGTACAGTACCAAGGTCCTGCAGATGGGGCCTCACAAGAGCAGAGTAGAAGGGGACAATCACCTCCCTGTCCCTGCTGGCCACCCCTCTTCTGATGGAGCCCAGGATCCCATTTGCTTTCCGAGCTGCAAGAGCACACTGCTGGCTCATGTTAAGCTTTTCATCCATCAGGAACCCCAGGTCCTTCTCTGCAGGGCTGCTCTCAAGGGCTGCTCCTTCCTGTCTGTATGGATGCCTGGGATTTCTCCAGCCCAAGTGCCAAACCTTGCACTTTGCTGTGTTGAACCTCATTAGATTCACTCGGGCCCACATTTCAAGTTTGTTGAGGTCCCTCTGAATGGCATCCCTTCCTTCCACTGCGTCAGCAACAACAACCAAAAAAAAGAAGTCAAAAATTCGGAGTCACACGTTTTCCCCAAAAGCCGTGACTTTGAGCAAGGAGAGCTGTTTCACAACCCCGGGCACAAGCCGGCAGATGGCAGCAGTGTGATATGAATACGAACACGAAACGTGGATTCTCCTTCTCTGTGGATATTCTAAATCCATCTGGAAGCTTTCGTGTGTTACCTGATATAGAGAAGCTGCTTTAGCAAGAGGTTGGATCTCCAGAGGTCCCTTCCAACTCCTGTGATTCTTTAATATCCCTGTGTCATGAGGACGGGGTCCTGGAGGAGAACACTGAGCCCTCAAAGACCCAAGCTAAAATCCAGGTTTCAAACAGAGCGGGAGAATGCTGATGGAATGAGCAGAGCACAGCACATCCTGGTTGGGTCAGGTTGATGTCATTTTGTGTTGAAATAAAGGTAAAAGCTCAGCAGAAAATATTTCTCTGCCCCATAAGCAGTTTGTGAGATTGGCACCAAGCTCAGGTGGTGACTTCTGTTGCACCTACTCAGCAATCCTCATAGTGCTGCTGTATGAGCTTCCGGGTGGCCTGGATTGAGGATTTATGTGCTAAAATGGAGGGAACGTTCTATATTTAAAGGGGGCTATGAGAAGAAAGGTGGCAGAACTTCAGCAGGGTCTGTTATGGTAGGACATGGGGAAACGGTTTCTATCTAAAAGAGGGAAGATTTAAATTGGACATAAGGAAAATGTTTTTTTACGCTAAGGGTAGCAAAGCACTGGCAAAGGTTTCCCAGAAAGGTGGTGGGTGCCTCAGCCCTGCAGACACCCAAGGTAAGGCAGGATGGGGCTGTGAGCACTGACGCAGCTGTGGGTGTCCCTGTTCAGTGCAGGGAGTGGGACCAGATGGCCTTGAAGGGTCCCTTCCAACTCAAACCACTCTATGATTCTACCCTATTAATTACGCGTTCTCATCCCTTCTCCGGCTTTCGGTGTGAGCAGGAGCCCTATCCCCAGCTGAGCTCGCTGCAAGCCGTGCTTTCAGCACATGGAACCCGCCTGGAAAGGACCACAGCACTACGGGATCGCCTGCCAAACTCTCGCTCCGCCCACTACCGGCCGTAGCCCCGCCCATTAACCCATCCTATTGGCCCTGCCTGTTGGCCCCGCCCATTGAACCCTCCCATTGGTCCTGCCATTGGTCCCACCCATTGGTCCCGCCCATCTGTCCCGCCCATTGGTCCCGCCCATTGCCCGTAGCCCCGCCCCCACTATCCCCGCCCCTCGTCCCGCCCCGCCCCTGTCAGCGGTGCGCGCCCTGCATGGAGCCGCACCATGGCGGCGGCGGCGGGAGCGGGAGCGGGCGGGCGGCAGCGGGGGCGCCGCTGATGGCCGGCAGCCCCGCGGCGGGGCGCTGAGAGGCGGCGTTGGACAGCGCCGGGCCCCCCACCAAACCCCCTGCGGCCGCGTCCCTTCCCTCCGTCCATGCTCCCGGCCGTCGCGGCCTCGCAGCGGAGCCGTTGGGCGGCGGCGAGAGAGGCGGGGAGAGAGGGAGAGAGCAGCGGGCCCGGCCCCGCGCCCGCAGGTGAGTAGCAGCAGCGGCGGCTGGAGGGGTTCCACGAATGGATCCTTTTCCCTTCTTTCCGTGCGGTGGAGCTCGGCCTCATCGTTCCGGGCTCCTGGGTTCGCTTAAAGGAAGCCCCCAAACTTTTTTTCTGGGGGGGGGTCGGTAGCGATAAGTCGAGAGGCGACGGCCTTAAGTTGGGCATATGGGGGTCGGTTGGGTTACTGGGATCGTTTCTCCTCGTTTCTCCTCCGAAAGAGCTGTGATGCATTGGAGTGGATCGGGCAGGGAAACAGTGAGCGTCCCTGGAGGTGTTGGAGAAAAGGGGGAGACGTTGGTTGGGTCCGACGATGGCAAAGCTCCATCCCAACCTTCACGACCACGCTGTGCTGCTCTCCTCCTGGCCAACCTTTGCTCGTCTTTCCCCTCCCACACCATCGAGAATGAAGAATACGACAAGAAGGAAGGCAGGCTTTTTAATTATTATCATTAATATCTTTTCCTCTCGCTAAACACCTCCTGTTAAGATCCGGAGGCATCCCAGCCCCGTGTCAGGGCTGTATGAGGAAAAATGAGAGCTGTGAGGTTCCAGCTGGGCTGTTTCGTAAGGAGGAGGGATGGGGTTCTGAGAGCCTCAGGAATTTACTCGGGGCGTTTGCAGAGCGTTTCTCTGTGCAGCTCAAATATTACTCATCCCCTCTGTGCCCGTGGTTGGTGGGAAGCTCGCTGTGTGCCTTGAAAAGGTTTGGAGATTTGCTTTCTGGACTGGCTGGAAAAGAAATGGGCATTGCTGTGCTCTGTCCTTTGGGGTGGGGATATCCTGGAGGGGCTTTGGAGGGGGTGTTCCAGAGTTTCTGCTCGGTGTTAGTTAGAGAAAAGAGATGTTTCCAGGGACACCGCTGTCCTGGCATTGATCTGGCTGTATTGTTTTCGAGCTAATAGGATACATGGCTCTGCTTTTCTGAAATGTCACCCTCACATAACTGATGCTTTGTGCAGCTCCGTGCCGTTGGGTCACGTCCAACGTTAACATCCTCATGGAAGAGCGTTCTGAAATCCTTCTCTCCGTGTCTCCGCTGTCTGTTCCTCTCAGACCCTCTTTGCTGGGGGATTTTGGAGGCTGAGCTCTTCAGCAGGAGGGGGATCCCAGGTCAGCAGGACGGTATGCATGGACTGAGCCATGTCAGCCACTTTGCTTTGCATGCAAAGTGCTGGGCGATGGCTGTGCAGCGAGCGTGGGAGCTGCAGGGTTTTGTATGCTGCTCGTCTCCCAGATAGGTTTGAAACCCCACGGAGTCACTATGGAATCGCTACAATTCAATGCAGTGCTGGGCAGAATACCTTTATTTTTCTATTTTTCTCCCCATGGTAACACTTTGTTCATGCTTTCTGGCCAAAACGTGGTGCCCGTATGCTTCGGCAGAGCCGCAGACAGTAGAGCAGATGCACCAGCTCCTGGCTGACACCTCCGTGTTGGAGCTGGATGGGAGGGAGGTTGGCCTTTATGGCCATTTTCTGGTCTCATTCACAAATCGGGTTTTCCTCTTAAAATAAACCAAATGCCTCTCTTTCCTGTTGCGGTGGAAATCATTTGAATGTGACCAGGTACACAGGCATCTCGGAAGCCTGCGGACAGGAAGAAGCACTAGAGCTAAGAGGTAGGAAATGTCTCTGTTTATGGCAGGGGGCTGATTCATCTCTCTGCTTTTAACTCCTTCCCTGCTGCTAGGCTGTTTTTGGGGCCATCCCATTTCGCTGCGAGGCTCAGGGAGTATCACCAGATACCAGCCTTGTTCTCTAATTGGGTCACAAAATATTTCTGCTGTCTTGCACTGGGGTTTGTGTGTTGGATTTATGTGGTTAGGGATGGAAAAGGGATTGCATGCTGTGAGCATTTCATACCTGAGCTGGATAACCAGAACATCGGCAGCCACATTAGGAAGGATTAATATTTAATATATGGGGTATGTGCCATTGTGTTTAATCACTTTATGCAGGGATTAGGAAGAGATTTCCTGATAAGTAAACGGTTCTCTGGCTGTGTGGAGTGATTTCTTGCATCTTCCTCAGGAACAGCTGCTCGCAGGTATTGCGAGCGCCTGGTCTGAACCAGCTGTGCTTTCTATTTCTCTGACAGAGAATGGCTTTCTTTCCAAGTCTTCCTTTCCATAAACCCATAAAGCCACTGG